CTTACATGGATTCCTCAACTAGGAAGTAGTTTATAAGATTTTGTATATAATAGATAATTAAAAAAAATTTAAACCATACGATAATAATTGTAGAGTATGAAAATCATTTCTTTTTTCTTTTGTTGATATAAGGGAATGTGTTAACTTTTTGGAGAGTCGTAAATGGCGTGATGAGCGGTCCAGAACGCATTATGAGAGTGGTGTTAAGCTTGGTATAGGAACCTTCAATTTGGTGAGATGTTTAAATCACTTTGCTGTATTACTACCGATAACAGAATTGAATTATAATATAGTGTCAAACTTTATATTATAGTACAGAGCAAGTAATTGGCATATAATCAGATTTCAAACTACTTCCATACATAACAGCATTCATATAGTTCATTTTAATGTCAGTATTAAATATAAAACAAGCAGAGATATAATCTTATAATAGAACCATGGTACAAGCAAATAGTTGTAGGTGGGATACATCAGCAAATGCATTAAACCTGTATCTCACTGTAGTGGTTTTTTTTTTTGCAACATGTATCGCTAATTTCAGCTTTATGTTTTTAGATGATATCAATGCTTCCAAAGAAAATCATGCGGCTACTGGAATTTGTTGGCTTCTCAGGAAATAGGGTTAGTTTTCCAATAAGTGCTAACTGTACTAAATTTGTTTGCTTCTCAGGAAGTTTGCTTAGTCTTCCAATTTACTTAATTTATGAGAATCTCCAAACCACACTTGTATATTTCCGTGATAATTTTCATTCACAACCCTCATTTATTAATGATTTCCATATTGCAGTACTGTGCTAAGGGAAAATAAATAATTAATTATTTGTAGAATTATGATATGATGGCACTTGTAATAAGATGTTAAATCCAAGGACCTGTCATAACAAAGAGTCACATATGTGATATACATGTATGTAATGTAGTAATGTATAACAATATCACAAAGGAAGCGAACATTGTGCTTTTTAATTGCCTTTTTCAAATTTGTGGACACATTTTTTAGCTGGAAGGCATTAAATTTACTGTAGTTAATTATTATTGTACTGAAGTTTAAACTGATTTCTTATGTGCTTTTTCAACCCTATGTAGGAATTTGGACTTGAAGAATTAGAGAAAGGCCGTGTTCTTCAGAGTTTAAGAGCACCACTATGCTCCTCTGTAATAATTGCATTCCATACTATCATCACCCATGTGTTTGGTATGTGTGTATGTACTCTCTAGCTGTTCCCAATACTTTCAACCACTCATATTTTGTTTTTAAAATACAACCTAGTAGAACCAATCTACAATTTTACCATACATAGCCATTGACCTTGTAATCCTCATTTCCATTCAACTAAAATCAAATATAAATATATATTTTAAGTTTCA